TTTGTTTAACAGATACGTCATTTGCTGTATTTTGAATTAAGAAAAATACTCTTATGTTATTGTAATCAAGAAAACTTGAAAATAATTATTTTTAACCGTCTCGCACATTAAATGTTATGCTTATCTTTTCATAACTTTTGCGATGAATGAAAGATATTCTGTTCACACATTGTAATCAAAATAACTGTTACATTAAATATATTTTATACTTAAATGTAATGCGCAAAATAAGAAACCAAAANAAAAAAAAAAAAAAAAAAAAAAAAAAAAAAAAAAAACACAGCACCCTAAATCACTTATGTTCTAATGATTGGATCTTCACGTTCTAAGAATCAATCTTAAAGGTTCGAAGGGGTACGCTAATACAATTCAAATACGCTAATTAGTGCAGACGACATTTTAAGCTACAAAATCAGCCGTACGAAAACAAGTTGTATTTTTAAAATTTGATTTCTCAGCAACAATTCGGCTAGTTTCGCTCAAATTTTGTTATTTTGCCATTTAAAATTACCTTCGTTAAAATGATGCAAAAATTTTATACTTTACAATTCAAAAATTTTTGGACAGCTATAAAATAAAATTGTAAAAAGTAATTAATCTTTACGTAAAGTTATATTTCACAGGGAATTATCTTTGGATAAAAGAATTTTATAAAATTGTGCCCAACAATTTTTTAATTCGCTTAAAAAGTTCTTAAGAAATGGCAAGTATGCAACTTTAAAAGTAAAATTAACATTAAGGGGTCCAATAGTTGGGCCGCTCTTTTAACCTAACTACTGGAACCGTATTTCCTAGATTGCGCATATATTTTAAGGGTCAAAAATCCGTATCCGAAAAAAGTATGTTTATTTAGAGGAAATACGATTTCGTGTCTGATTTCGTAACCTAAAATATCGTATACACTGTATAATTATCATATTTTTATATTTTTTATTATAACCGTAGTGGAACAGCCGACCCAATTTTGGGTTTACGACTACTAATGTTCAACTCCGTAGCCTTGTAAATTTGAACCAATCCAGAAGACAATTAAACTCCTGGATCAGTCAAATTTCTCCCAATACTTGAGCCAGGAGTTCCCTTGTCTTCTGGATTGGGTTCAAAATTACACGGCTACGGACTTGACATTAGTAGACATAAACCCAAAAATTGGGTCGGCTGTTCAACGACGGTTATAATATAAAAATAAAATATATACAATGCGCCAAGAAAAGCAGACATCCCTGAATAACTTTTGATCTAATGATCGGATCTTCACGTTCTAAGACGCAAACTTAATGGTTGAGGGGTAGACCTCAAGCATGCAAATTAATTAGCGCAGATGATATTTTAAGTAACGAAATCAGACACAAAAACATATTTTCTCTGAAAAACGTATTAAATCTCTTTTTCAACGGATTCCAAAATATAGGGGATAGCCACAATCTGGGAAATATGGTTCCAATAGTTTGGTCATGGGGTTCCAAAGTTTCGACCTCATAATATTAATTTAACTTTTTGCGTATTTCGCTATATCTCGAAAATTTTTTAAGGGAATTGAAAAATTTTTTCCACACAATTATAAAATTCGTTTATCCAAATACAATACCATGCAAAAATTAATTTTAGTAAATATTTTTTTAAAATTTTTATCAATAATAGTCGAAAAAATTTTGAATTGTAAGGTATAAAATTTAGTGCATCGTTTTAAATTATGTAAGTTTGCTTGGCAAATTAACAAACTTTTCCCAGATTGTGGCTACCCCCTATACTTCGGGGGTCAGAAATCCAAATCCACTGAAAAACAGTTACGTTTATTTAGAGGAAATAAATTTTGTGCTTGATTTCCTAACTTAAAATATCGCCTGCACTAATTAATCAGCATATTTGAGGTCGCAGCCTCGAACCATTTAGTTTGAGTCTTAGACAGTGAAAATCAGATCATTAGGGGATGAAAAGTTATTCAATGTGGTCTATTTTCTTGGTGCACTGTACGTCTTTCATGGGACCAAGATCCACGGAGGTGATACTGAGTACTGGAAAAAATTATTTTGAATCAAAGATCCAAGTACTACTGAAAAATACTTTTTCTTTTAATTTTTTCCATGAAATACATATTTCGTCAGCATTTTTTTCTTCTTTTTGTCATAAGATAAGAAGTATTATTAAGTAGTACAAAAATATGATTGCAGCACTAGATTAGTGCAACATTAACAACACTGCAAATGTTTTAGACTTGCAAAGATTACTTTAAAACAAAAATATAATTAAGATTTATAGAGATACTTCTTAATGAAATATATTTCAGATAGGAAACCTTCAAACAGGTCTGTGCAAAAGTGTTTCGCTATTTTGTTCCTTTATACCAATTTAAACTTTATTAACAAGAAACGTCTCTGCGTAAATTTATTTGGTACTAATTTAAAGAATGCTATAATTTATGAACTTTTTTTTTGCTGTCTCTATTAAAAAAAATCCACTGTTTTCATTTCATTGTTTTGCAAATTAATTTCACTATTTTCATATAATTCGAAAAGATTCGACTTTGTTCCATATCCACTTTTTCTGATTTTATGCTTTAGTGCAGTTGCTCTTTGAAAGAACACTGATTTTAATTGCTCAACATAAATGAATAAATAAATAAAAACGAAAAAACCGAAAAAAAAAACT